CTTCCACATACACACACACACACACACACACACACATATATATATATATATATATATATATAAATGGCTTGAAGGGACGCAAATGATGATGGCGATGGGACAATTGAAGGAATATATATATATTCTGGCATCCTAACAGATTGTGTGTGTGTGTGTATATATATATATATAGGGTCCGAAAGATTGAAATCGTCCTCAGCCTAAAACATACCTAAAAGCTTGCTGTTGCTGCACCACGATGTCACCCGTCTACAAACTCCAGCATCTTCCCTTTGCTCCATCTTCCGCGCACCGCCAAGCATCATGTGGGGATATATATAGGAAAGAAAGAGAAGGTGTTGGCCGAAAAAAAAATATAAAGGTTTCAGGAATGGTGCACCACACCATGAAAAAAAAAATTATTATAAAGGATCATCACCATCAGCCCATTTTGAAAAGAAGGAGCAAAAGAAAGTAGGGAGGTGGGATGGTGCGGATTGCACCATATGAAAAAAAATAATATATAAAAAAATAATGGGTGGGTGCATGATTAAAAGAAAAAGAAAAAGGGGAAATGAAAGTGGTGGTGCATGAGCACCATTTTCAAAAAGCAAAAAAAAAGACATGCAAATTGGCAAAAAGAAAAAAAATAATGATGGTGCCAGGCGCACCTAAAAAAAAAAAAATATATATATATATATATATAGACATTGAATGAAAGAAGCCTCATTTATTGATTTCTCTAAAAATTTACATAAATGTACATTTTACATGAGACAAAAAAAAAGTGCAAACAAACAGGAGGGAGTCTTCATTGCTCAGGTGGCATCTCAGTACTCGGCGGAGCTCCAGAAGGTGGAGGCACCAAAGGGTGATTATTTAGAGCCTCAGTACTAGGCAGAACCCCAGGAGGAGGATGCACCGAAAGTTGATCATTTGGAGTTTCATTACGCGGTACAGCCTTAGAAGACGAAGGCAAATACTGTTGGAACAAACCCACAAACCTCTGATGATCAAGTAAAATCTGATCAGATTCCTGCATCTGGTCAATCTTCCTCTTCATGTTTGTAGCATAGTTATGTGCGAGCCTGTGCAACTGTTTATTCTCATGCTTGAGCCCTCTAATCTCCTATTTGAGACTCATCACTTCAGCCGCCAATGATTCAACTTGACGGGTTCGAGCAAATAGGCGTTGGGCCATATTAGACACAGAAGCTGCACACTGCACACTAAGAGCCAGAGAATCCTTAACAGCCAACTCATCAGACCGTTTGGAAAACAGTTTGTTATCTTTGGGAGTGACAAGGTTCCGGGCCACCACCGCAGCGGTCATATCATTCTTCATCACCGAGTCCCCGACGGTAAGAGGACCAGTAGGGGATATAAAGGATGGGCGCCATATGTTGTCTGGAGAAGGCGGGACTGCCTCTTTACCAAGGTTCAAGTAAAAATGACGGTCGGAGGGTCCAGACATTTTCAAAGGTGTTAAAAAAGAGAGGAGGTGAGACGAATCAAGATTTTAGAAGTGCAAAAAGGGAGTTTCTACAAGCGAAAATTCAAGTGTGTTTTGAAACGAACTGCGTGCCTCTATAAAAATCAGCACTCGATGAGATTTCAGAGATCGAAGAGGCGAGCTCAGAATTCGAAGAGGCTAATTAAAAAAAAAATCGAAGAGGCAAGCTATTGGAGAGGCATCTTGCTTTTCCAGACGCGTCAGCATTCGTCACATGCAAACTCAGCTTTGCGGAAATCACGGGCAATTTTTCGAAGCGCCGATCCCAGATATCGAAGAGGCGCCAGTCTTTTTCAGCCTCGTCAACACCTGTCACATGCACACTCAGCTTGACGAAAATTACGGACAATTTGTCGAAGATTTCTGATAAAGAACAAAGCACGTGAAGCCATACCGATCAATCACGCAATGGTTACCGACACGAGTGAAAGAATAGTACCTCTACAGGTATTAAAGAACTTCCTATAACTATCCACCTTCACCCTCCATAGTAAGGCAGACATACAGAACCTTTCTTCATCTCCGAGAATGCCTTCCCAACAAAGCCTCTCGAGTCACTTAGTGTTCCTTATTCCTTGGGGTACCTCTGCAAACAAATGACACCAAAGCAAAAGTATCTCATATCACCAGGGTAGAAAGCAAGAGTATCTCATATCATGCGTTCTCCATATCCTTTCCTTTGTACTTGTTCTTACCTGCAAAGAAAGCAATACTTCCAAAGAAGTTGTCACATCCACTCAAACTCGGGTAAGGAACCGACTGCTTGGAACCCTTCCCTAATTGCCTACCTAGCACTGCTCTCGAGTACTCGTCTTCCACTGCTGCTGTACTTCCAAAGAAGTTGTCACATCTGCCTGGAGAACAGATAAGGCAAGTGAAAATGATACCTTGTAGCATGTGGAGACAAGGTGCAGAAGGAACACGCAGAGAAGAATGCGGCCTGCACAATCAACTCAGCAGAAGGAGTCTGAGTTGAGGAACTCAAGAAACTGCCACATCTGCCTGGAGAACAAATAAGGAAATGCGGCGTACACAATCAACTCAGCAGAAGGAGTTCGAGTTGAAGAATTAGAGAGAAGAAGGGGTCTGAGTTGAATCCAAGAGCTCGAGAAGCTTCAACAACATATTGACGACACCATCGCTGAAGAACAAAGCCTCGCTGTGCAACGTTGTCAAATCACCACCACTTCTTCGAAAAGCAAGAGTATCTCATATCATCAGGGTTGCAATCACTCTGGGTGGAGGACTCGTTTTGACCCTCAAATTCATGGGTCGACTCGCTAGGCGTTGTGGGTTGCACGTGCCGATTCACCACTCTTGAATCAAATCCTTAAAGATCAAGTCACCAACCGGAAGAAGAGCCCATCAATCTTGAAGATCATACCATTGACCAAACTGCCCAGGTATGAATTAGAAAGATTGAACAAAGCGACAAGTCGTCACCTTCACCTCATACCTGCTTGCCATGTGTTCGAGTCAACCTTCAAGAATCAAGCTTCAACAGCCCTTGAAGAAGCTTCCAGCTAAATTCAAGATCAATCCTCGACGGCCCTTGAGGAAATAACAAGTCTGATTCAAGATCAAGCGTCCACCACCCTTGAATCAAATCAAGTTCAAGAATAAGCTGAGGAAAGTCAACAATTAGAGGAATCCAGAAAATCCTCCAACCTAGTTCAAGATCAAAGCTGTGGAAAGTCAACAAGCGCAAAAACAAATACGTGCCAATTCATCAATTACCAAAGCCAAAGATCATCTACCACATGAAGCTCCTTGTGGTCCAATTTCAACCTTCAAGATCAAGCCTCGACGACTCTTGAAGAAATCTTAAGCCCAATTCAAGATTAAGCCTCAACGACCCTTGAAGAAATCTCCAGCCCAATTTAAGATTAAGCCTTGATGGCCCTTGGATCGACATCTACAGTAAGGGACTTCAAAACGCATCTTCTACACGTGACAAGCACATGTATACGATGCGCCTTGAAGTGGGGGCATTTGTAGACATCGAAATTTCGGTAAATAAATGTTGACCGATAAATCAAAGTTTCAACGCTCATGTATTACATAAATTTTACACGTAGCATGTGTCTAAACAAAAAATTGAAATAAGTTGGAAAAGTCATCAAACAGGACACGTGTCAACACCTGGCAGAAATGACTTATTTCATCTGGAATATTATATTCAAAATTAGGCCTTGGAAAATTCTATAAATAGAAGCCAATTTCATTCATTTCATTTCACCAATTCATATGACACCAAAACCTTGAAGCTCTGAAACTCTGAAACTCCGACGCTCTCAAGTATCCAGGTTCCCGAAGAATCAAGAAAGCGTTCTTCGTTCATCGTTCTTCCAAGATCAAGCCCCGACGACCCTTGGATCAACAATCCACCAATTCAAGATCAAGCCCCGACGGCCCTTGAAGAAAGTGTTCTTCGTTCTTCGTTCTTCGTTCATCGTTTTTCCAAGATCAAGCCCCGATGGCCCTTGGATCAACAATCCACCAATTCAAGATCAAGCCCCGACGGCCCTTGAAGAAAGTGTTCTTCGTTCTTCGTTCATCGTTCTTCCAAGATCAAGCCCCAACGGCCCTTGGATCAACAACATCAACAAATCCACACATCCAACCGTTCTTCAAGATCAAGCCCAAAAGTCCTTGAAGATCCGTTCATCACCGTTATTCAAGATCAAGCCTCAACGGCCCTTGAAGAATCACTCATCCTCAAGATCAAGCCCCAACGGCTTATTGAAGATCCGCTCAAATCCACCTTCAAAGATCAAGCCCACGGCCCTTGAAGAACGTTCATCCTTAGATCAAGCCCAACTGCCCTTTGGATCAATCGCACATCCTCACATTCAACACCTTACGGAGATCGAATCAGAGGATCAAATTTGAGAGAGATTGTAAACCCAAAATCATCAAATACAAATATTATTTTGTGCACGTGTTCTTGTCTCTTTTGTTTCAGGAATATTCTGTGTTTACACCGTTGTTCATGCTTTTTCATAATAATGTACAAAACAGCGTAGCTTGGTAGATTTCTGTTGATATCGACTTTGAGTTGATTTGTACATGACTTTTATCTTGTAGAAACGACTTTCCATTGATTTCATTAGCATTATGATATTTCCGTTTTTTATTGATGATATTTTTAGATCTTAGGTAAGAGAGAAGCAAGTGTAAGTGATAGAATGGAAGATATTAGTCTTTGATTTGAAGTTGCGATTGGTAGATTTTTGTTACAGTCGCTAGTTGTTACTAATTTTTTTTAATCATATACTAGCATATGGCCACCCACAAAGTGTGCATGAAAATTTTCTATTTTTGTTTTTAAAGGAGAGAGAGAGAGAGAGAGAGAGAGAGAGAGAGAGAGAGAGAGAGAGAGAGAGAGAGTTCTTTTTTTTTAATCAGAGATTTGTTATAATCACATGTAGGTGAGGATTTGAAAAAAAAAACAGTAAAATTTTGATTGTTTGAAATTACAAATCTGCCTATATTTCTTATTCATGTTCAGATTTAAGCAGAGGGTTAATCTGGTAATTTTATAAGAGTTTGGTTGACAATAACTCAATAAGTGTTCTACTAATATGTAGTTTAGATATGTAAAAAGAAAACAGAAAGGCAAAAGCAAGACAATAGAACAAATGAGTTTTTGGTTTGCAAATTGAAATGGTCATCAAACAGCCTCTTATTTTTAAGGATTAGTAAACTGCAAAACCAAGACTGCTCGTTGGTCTCAGAGACAAGGGAAGCAGTTCGTCTTGGTTGCGCAATAGGCAGTGCACGCCGCAACTTTTAATGGGTGAGCCATTTTTGAAGCGAAATACAACTTGACAAATATCTCCGTGCTGCTCCTGCTCCCCAAAACCCACTAACGCAAGCTTCACATGAGTTGCCTTTAAGTCCTTATAGAACCATAAACAAGGTTCAAACGTTTTTTCTCCGTTGATGATAATACACTTGACATCAGAATGATAAGTCGATGGTTCAACAACAAAAGATAGAGCCAATCCAAATAACGTCTCCCCCACTTGTAATTTTAGAGGAATTTCAAAACGAATTTCACTGCCTCTAATAAATCCTTCTTTCCTTTCATCTTCATCCCATTTATATTCTGGTAGAGGTTGAATGGTTGTGGGATGGTTAGAGGTATAGCTGAACCACTTTGGAACTTCATTGCCTGGGTAAATAATGCTCAAGTGCGGACATATTTCCTGCAATAATAGATATATATAGTTAACTAACTACAAACATTTGTGATCTGATCTCTCTTTCAATTATCAACAAAATTAATTTTCATTTGAACATAAATTAAGAAGAAGAGAGACCAACCTCATTCAACAAGTTGTTTTCCAACTTTGCCACCTCATCACCACTTAGTCCAGAGCAGTTACGCAAGTTAAGATCCCCAAGCCTCTGGGGTAGTTTTGGAATTTTCTCCAATGATGTGCAATCATCCAGATGTAACTCTTCTAGTTTTGGTGGAAGGACTGGAATTTCTCGAAGCCTCTTGCAACCGCTCAATGTAAGTTTCCATAAGTTGACAGCTTTGCTAATACAATCCGGAAGGCTAACAAAATTGTTTCTCGACAGATTAAGCCCTGTTAATGCGGACCAGCAATGAAGAGGCACAAGGAAATCACTTTCTGATAAATTGCATCCTTCAAGAGAAAGATACAGCTGTAACCTTCGAGCCTTCTTGCCCTCTATTTCTGGGAAACTCTCGAGCCTTCTGCAACCACTGAGAGAAAGATTCAAAATTTCAAGTTTATCGAGGAATCCAACTGAATCATCAACTTCGACCAAACTTGTAAAGTCACGTAGATCCAACTGCCATATGTTTGGGCTTCCGGATAAGTCGGGGACATTTTGCAACTCACAACCATTTGCATACAAGGCCGTAAGCCCAGTAAGATACGCAATTGATGAAGGCAATTCTCTTATGCTACTTTTTCCTATCTCCAAACTCCACAGAGATTTCATCTTGTCCCTCTCTATTTCTGGAAATCTCTCCAGCCATGTGCAACCATTGAGATTAAGATCTTCAAGGGATCTCAATCCAAGTCTGGTTCCAAACCTCGTAAGGTTAGAGCACCCACTAAGATTCAATATTTCAAGTTTATCGAGGAATCCAACTGAATCATCAACCTTGACCAAACTTGTGCAGTTACTTAGATCCAACGTCCTTATGTTTGGGCTTCCGGATAAGTCGGGGACATTTTGCAACTCACAACCATATGCAATCAATTGCGTAAGCCCAGTAAGATACGCAATTGATGAAGGCAATTCTCTTATGCCACTTTTTCCTATCTCCAAAAGCGTAAGAGATTTCATCTTGTCCTTCTCTATTTCTGGAAATCTCTCCAGCCTTGTGCAACCTGTAAGATGAAGCGCTTTAAGGGATCTCAATCCAAGTCTTGTTGCAAACCTCGTAAGCTTAGAGCACCCAGTAAGAAACAACACTTCAAGTTTATCGAGGAATCCAACAGAATCATCAACCTCGACCAAATTTTTACACCCACTTAGACCCAAGTACTTTATGTTTGGGCTTCGGGATAAGTTGGGGATTTTTTCTAAGAATTCGCAACCACTTAAATTCATCCATGTGAGATTTGCCAAATTCTATAAAACCAAAAAAAAAAAAAATCACATACTTTAAAAAGAATATAATAAAACACTTGAGTATTTCTTTGGGAGATAAAATATATGTTTAAATAATAATATGATTCAAAATAATTTAAAGTATGTACCTTAAATTCCTTAAATTGTCTTATGTTACAGTGTGGCACATCAAAACAAACAAGATTTCTTGGATGAAAATTGGACGACAAATTGAGCACAACCGTATGCTTAATATCAACAATGGATCGTCCACCCAAGTCAATCCACCTTAAACTGTTGGGCAAATAATCAACGCGTCCAGAAAAGTGTGCATTACGGTTTATAAAAATTTCAAGTTTTACCATCCTCAAGAAGCTTTCTGGATTCAAGGGTATCACATCTGATTTGGGCAGCTTCACCACAATGCTTCTAATTTTCTTTGTTCCCTAAGATGGAAAAAAAAAAAGTTGAAATATTGTTAACAAACCATGTCGTTTAATTAACAAACATAACACAACCCCTGTTTTAAAATTTTTGTGTTCTCTTTTCAATATCATGCCAAATCAAATGCAAGAACATATATTCTACTTACTTGGTTTTCAGTTAGAACATCATACACATCTTCATAAAACCACAGCCTGCTCCGCTTGCCTGGTTCAGTGGGCGATTCTTCGTAAACTATTTGCTTACCCATTTTTTGTAGCAAGTCATTCATCAAAATCCGATTATCTCCAATAGTTATAATGGCTTTCTCAACGAGTACTTTAATACAATCTTGACGTACATTGAGCGTCGAACTTCTTAATATTTGTAACACGTAGTCTTTATTTTCACCATTAAAGAAACATGCAATGTCTAGGAAAACTTGTTGCAGGCCATAATGCCATGCATCATAAGTTTTTCGAAGTATTTTTTCAATAATAGTATAAGGTTCTCCATCGTAAGAATCGTAACCATCCAATATAGCTTGCCAACGATCTATACTTTTATTACGCAAATGAGAACCTATAATATTAAGAGCCAACGGAAGGCCTTGAGCATAGGCTACTGCACGTCGTGCGAGGCTCAAATAATCATCTGGAGGTCTATTTCTTTCGAAGGCATTCCAACTAAAAAGCTCAAGTGCTTTGTCGTCTTCTAACCTTTTGACTTCATATATCCACTGACCTCCATAAAAATCAAGCATACTTCTATCTTTTGTGGTTATGATCACCCTGCTACCCTCACCGAAACAATCGACATCAACCCAGTTTTTTAACTGCTCCAATTGATCCACATCATCAAGAATTAAGAGAATCTTCTTTTGCCTCAACCGATTCTTAACAAGACTGATTCCTTCATGAACATCGACAATTTCCCACTCTGTGCCACGAAGAATTTTAGATAGAAAAGTCTTTTGTAGTTGGATTAGGCCTTCCCGTGATGTCAATGTTTCTCTAACATCTGCCAGGAAACAACTAACTTGAAACTTGCGAGCAATTGCATTATAAACCGCTCTTGCAATTGTTGTCTTGCCTATTCCAGATGTCCCCCAAATCCCAACCACACGACGACCATTTCCATCGACACCTAAAAGATCTTTCACCTCTTGTACGCAAGATTGTATTCCAACTGGGTATTTGGCCACATCCAAATATGTGCCATCAAGTACTTTGAGTAGGATATCCTCAACAACGTTGCTGATTAATGTAGCTTCATAGCTAGCAGTGAAAAACAAATCACACAATAAATCAGTGAACTTTTTTTTTGTGTGGCTATATTTCAGAAAAATGTAGAAAAGAACGTAAAAACAAATAGACAGGAAAATTACACGATATTAATAAAAAAGTGTACTTGAATATATTTCTATGTTTCTATCCAAAATACACTAGTAATTAACTATACTGATGACATTATTCCAGGAAACTGATTATATAAATACACGGTAAGGGGAAGAAATGTACGTACTCTCCTTCCTTGACAGGATGTCCTGACAAATTTGCTGCTTCTCTAAGAGCACTCCTCCATGCGAGGATCTTCTCCTTATTGTCCTCGAATTTGCACTCAAGTTTTTTGAACACGTCACCGAAACTACTCGTTTGATTTCGTACATGGGACGGATCCACCTTGTAAAAAACTGGCAAAACTATTTGTCGCTTTGATTTTCTACATTGAAGAATCTTGACAAGCTCGTCCAAGCACCACCTTGAAGCTGCATAGGTTTTGGAGAATATGACGAGAGAAATTCTTGACTCTTCAATTGCTTGGAGGAGCGCTGGTGATATTTCTTCTCCTCTTACAAGTTGGCGATCAATGAAGGTGTGGATTCCCTTGTCAACCAACGCCTTGTATAAATGATCTGTAAAAGTGGTGCGTGTATCCTCTCCTCTAAAGCTCAAAAAGACATCATATCTCCACGAAGGAGTACTATCGATACAAAAGGAAGAAGAAGAAGAAGAGGAGGAGGAGGAGGAGGAGACAAGTTGATTATTCATTTGAGAAATCCAGGTAAACTAAAGAACCTTTCAAAGGATTGATTGTGGATTTTGGACTGGTATTCGCGTTAAGACTTCGCTCTTGCTATGCATACTTTTCTTGCTATGTAGGAAGCAGCAGTTTCCTACCACCTCCAATGTGAATGTGGACTCTCTCTTGTCATGTTAGTCCTCATGCTTTTCTCCCTACCTACGAAGCAGTTTCCTAGATACTAGCTACCTTTCAATGTGAACGTGGTCAAGTTGAAAGATAGGAAACTTCTTGGGAACTTCATTTCAAAAGCGGATATTAATTTACAGAATTGTTATTAGCACTTCAAAAATCTCATTCTACACTCTAAAATTTCTATATTAAGAAAGAAAAATACACTTGTGAGGAGGAGTGTAGAATGAGATTTTTGAAGTGCCAATAACACACTTCCCTTAATTTAAGCGTAATGTTAGGAAGATTAAATTTGTAAAGTAAATTACATAAAAGTTAATGATTGTATTATTACTTGAGTATTGATTAATGATTTAAGGTGCTTATTTAAATTTGTAAAGTAAATTACATAAAAATTAATGATTGTATTATTACTTGAGTATTGATTAACGATTTAACGTGCTTATTTTTTTATTGATGACATATTAATTAGTTTACAAATTTAATTTTTGTAGTATTACCCTTAACTTAAAAAGAGGAAGTTTCGTTGCAAGCTACTATTTATCATTTTTTATGTAACAATCTACCGTAATGATATTCTAAGATAATCACGGATGACTGAAAAATATAAAATTGTTTGTTGGCACGCGGTCTTTAATTTAACGAAGATGTGTCTTATTCATTTGTTTTGTTATGCTTTTGGAACTTTTTGTTTCTTTGATCAGCGGCCGACTCACTATGGTTTTGTCTGTATTTTATTATTCATTGATATTTATCATCACCCATGGCCTTTCTTCACCAATGAATTTATAATTCCGAACCATTTTCCTCTTTTCAAAGGCCACATCTTTGTGTTGTATTCATTTCAACGAAGCAGTTTCCTGGATACTAGCTACCTTTCAATGTGAATGTGGTCGGGTTGAAAGATAGGAAACTTCATGGAAACTTCATTTCAAAAGTAGATATTAATTTAAGTGTAATGTTAAGAAGATGAAATTTGTAAAGTAAATTACATAAAAGTTAAAGATTGTGTTATTACTTGGGTATTGATTAATGATTTAACGTACTTATTTTTTGGGAAGTGTTATTAGCACTCCAAAAATCTCATTCTACACTTCTCACAAGTGTATTTTTCTTTCCAAATATAGAAAGTTTGGAGTGTAGAATGAGATTTTTGGAATGCCAATAACAATTCTTATTTTTTTTATTAGTGACATATTAATTAGTTTGCAAAATTTATTTTTCAAGTATTACCCTTAACTTAAAAGAGAGGAAGTTTCGTTGCAAGCTACTGTTTACTATTGTTTGTACCATACTTGACCAATCTCGAAACTACCGAGCACTGGTCAACATTTACCATCAAGGACCCAAAAGAGTTTCCCTCCAACCAGGAGGCCAATCACAGCGCGATACGTGTCAACATCAGAAGCCAATCATAGTGCGACACGTGTCAACATCAAATGCCAATCACAACACGACACGTGTCAATGTCAGAATAAAGCTAGAAACTCTCTTCTATAAAAGGAGATCATTCTCCCACAATATTTGCTAATGTCATTTCTACTAAATCATTCACTAGTACTTACTAAAGGAGAGCTTGAACCTATGTACTTGTGTGAACCCTTCACAATTAATGAGAACTCTTCTACTCCGTGGACGTAGCCAATCTGGGTGAACCACGTACATCTTGTGTTTGCTTCCCTATCTCTATCCATTTACATACTCATCCACACTAGTGACCGGAGTAATCTAGCGAATGTCACAAACTTAACATTTTCTGTTGTACTAAAATCTTCGCCGATTTTGTGCATCAACATTTGGCGTTGTTTGTGGGAACGACACTTATTCCCACTCTCTTCAGGTTTGTTAAGTTGGTTTCCACCATTCATACACTCTCTTTTGACCAAGCATCCCTTTCCAACATGGGGAGCGAAGGAAGCCACAGCACACATCATGACACCCCTCTTGCACCTAGTGCGAAGCAACGAAAGAAGGAACAAAAGAAGTTTCTTCAGGCTAAAGTCGATGAGCTGGAGGCTAAGAACAACAAGATAGCGATGAAGAATGAGATCCTCCAAGAGTAGTATGAGAAGGTCTTCGAGATGCTCCACGAGGCTAGATATACTAAAAAACACGAGCTCATCACCCCTGTGGAAGTCAACCATCAACTGGGTGCCCCCCAACATGGAGGGTCATTTGCCCTCGACATGGGTATTCTTGTTGAGGACCGAGCCACTCATCGAAATGGCGACCAATATTAGACTTCTCTCAACCCAACTGTTTTGACCCGAAGCATGAGGAGTGGAGGATGGCACCTCTTTACAGAAGGAGTGGACGGATCGAAAGCTGTCTTTCACGACTGTCGAGACTTCCTCAAGCAACGTCGAGACAATCCCATCCATGTAAGATCGAAGATCAATGACCCAATGGTCTCTGAAAGACTCGGTCCCCTCCCATGTCCCAGGCCGACTACCAATTTGGG